GGAAAAATCACTACGGACACCACAGAAATACAAAGAATTATTAGAGAATACTATGAAAAATTATATGCTAACAAACTGGATAACCTAGAAGAAATGGACAACTTTCTAGAAAAATATAACCTTCCAAGGCTGACCCAGAAAGAAACAGAAAATCTGAACAGACCAATTACCAGAACAAAATTGAACTGGTAATCAAAAACCTACCTAAGAACAAAACTCCTGTACTAGTTGGCTTCACTGTTTAATTTTATCAAACATTTAGTGAAGACCTAATACCCATCCTCCTTAAAGTTTAACAAAAGTAGAAGAAGAGGGAATACTTCCAAACTCATTCATGAGGCCAGTATCACTCGAATACCAAAGTCAGGAAAAGACACCACAAAAAAAGAAAATTACAGACCAATATTCCTGATGAACATAGATGCAAAAATACTCAACAAAATATTAGCAAACTGAATTCAACAACACATCAAAAATATTATCCATCAAGATCACGTAGTATTTATTCCAGGGATGCAAGGATGGTACAACATTCAAAAATCCATCAACATCATCCACCACCTCAACAAAAAGGACAAAAACCACGTGATCACTTCAATAGATGCTGAAAAAGCATTTGAAAAAATTCAACATCCATTCATGATAAAAACTATTAACAAAATGGGCATAGAGGGCAAGTATCTCAACATAATAAAAGCCACATATGACAAACCCACAGCCAACATCATACTTAACAGTGAGAAGCTGAAAGCTTTTTCTTTAAGATCGGGAACAAGACAAGGATGCCCACTCTCCCCACTTCTATTCAACATAGTACTGGAGGTCCTAGCCATGGTAATCAGACAACACAAAGAAATAAAAGGCATCCAGAATGGCAAGGAAGAAGTTAAACTGTCCCTGTTTGCAGATGACATGATATTGTACATAAAAAACCCTAAAGAATCCACTCCAAAACTACTAGATCTAATATCTGAATTCAGAAAAGGTGCAGGATACAAAATTAATACAGAGAAATCTGTGGCATTTCTATACACTAACAATGAACTAGCAGAGAGAAAAATCAGGAAAACAATTCAATTCATAGTTGCAACAAAAAGAATAAAATATGTAGGAATAAACCTAACAAAGGAAATGAAAGACCCATACTCTAAAAACTACAAGACACTCATGAGAGAAATTAAAGAAGATACCAATAAATGGAAACACATCCCATCCTCATGGATAGGAAGAATTAACATTGTCAAAATGGCCATCCTGCCTAAATCAATCTGCAGATTCAATGCAATTTCTATCAAAATATCAACAGCATTCCTCAACGAACTAGAGAAAATTGTTCTAAAATTCATATGGAACCACAAAAGACCCCAAATAGGCAAAGAAAACCTGAGAAGGAAGAATAAAGCTGGGGGGATTATGCTCCCAACATCAAGTTCTACTACAAAGCCACAGTAATCAAGACAATTTGGTACTGGTCCAAGAACAGGCCCATAGACCAATGGAACAGACTAAAGAGCCCTGATATAAACCCAACCATATATGGTCAATTAATATATGATAAAGGAGACATGGACATACAATGAGGAAATGACAGCCTCTTCAACAGCTGGTGTTGGAAAAACTGGACAGCTACATGCAAGAGAATGAAACTCGATTATTCTATATCCCCAAACATAAAAGTAAACTCAAAATGGATTAAAGACTTGAATGTAAGTCATGAAACCATAAAACTCTCAGAAGACAACATAGGCAAACATCTTTTGAATATAAGCATGAGCAACTTCTTCCTGAACACATCGCATCTCCTTTAGTAAAGGAAACAAAGGCAAAAATGAACTCATGGGACTACATCAAACTAAAAAGTTTCTGTACAGCAAAGGACACCATCAACAGAACAAAAAGGCATCCTACAGTATGGGTGAATATATTTGTAAATGATATATCCAACAAGGGGTTAATATCCAAAATATATAAAGAACTTACACGCCTCAACACCCAAAAAGCAAATAACCTGATTAACAAATGGGCAGAGGATATGAAGAGACAGTTCTCCAAAGAAGAAACTCAGATGGCCAACAGACACATGAAAAGATGCTCCACATCACTAATCAACAGGGAAATGCAAATTAAAACCACAATGAGATATCACCTCTCTCCAGTAAGGATGGCCAGCATTGAAAAGTCTAAGAACAACAAATGCTGGCAGGGATGTGGAGAAAGGGGAACCCTTCTACACTGCTGGTGGGAATGTAAGCTAGTTCAACCATTGTGGAAAGCAATATGGAGGTTCCTCAAAAAACTGAAAATAGAAATACCATTTGGCCCGGGAATCCCCTTCCTTGGAATTTACCCAAAGAATACAACTTCTCAGATTTAAAAAGACATAAGCTCCCTTATGTTTATCGCAGCACTTTTTACAATAGCCAAGACATGGAAGCAACCTAAGTGTCCATCAGTAGATGAATGGTTAAAGAAGAACTGGTACATATGCAAAATGGAATACTATTCAGCTGTAAGAAAGAAACAAATCCTATAATTTGCAACAACATGGATGGAGCTGGAGGGCATTATGCTCAGTGAAATAAGCCAGGCAGAGAAAGACAAGTGCCAAATGATTTCCCTTATTTGTGGAGTATAACAATGAAGCAAAACTGAAGGAACAAAATAGCAGCAGACTCACAGACTCCAAGAAGGAACTAGTGGTTACTAAAGGAAAGGGGTGTGAGAGGGCTGGTGGGGAGGGAGGGAGAAGGGGATTGAGAGGTATTATGTTTAGTACACATGGTGTGGGAGATCACGGGGAAAACAGTATAGCACAGAGAAGGCAAATAGTGAATCTGTGGCATCTTACTACACTGATGGTCAGTGACTGCATTGGGGTATGGGTGGGGACTTGATAATATGGGTAAATGGAGTAACCACATTGTTTTTTCATGTTAAACCTTCATAACACTATATATCAATAATACCTTAACAAAAAAAGTTTTAAAAAATGCATTTGCCTTTAAATGTTTTCAACAAATGCCCCTCATTAGAGCTGTGTCCGTGGAGGGGTTCTGAATTAACTGAAGTAAAGGAAGGTCCTTTGAACTGGTCCTTCAGGGAGCCACCAGACAGGTGAAGAAAAACAATCACAATTCTTTGAAAATAAGGTTCATCCTGCTATAGTAGGAACCTATAAATAAAATACAGACTTTTGTCTTCAAGGTTGCCACCAAAATAGGTAGTAGGGGATGGGGCCCATGTAAGTTAAAACATCAGAAAAGCTCTCTTACACAAATTCAGTTGTTTTGTTTTAACTGATTTAGCATTCTCCAGAAAGCTATCAGCTTTTGATGGATTTTCAGAGTGTCAGTAAAGTTGATTCACTGTTTTTGTAGTTCCTTTACTACCATTTTTGTTCTACCTTGGGAAGGTCTTCTCAATAAGGATAATATATCTCTGATGAGATGGGGGGAGGAGATTGAAGGATATAGGGAAAAATTCATGTTATTCAGGAAGCAGGCCTTGATTAATCCCAACTGAGACCATATTTTCACTCTTGGCATTTATTTAGTTTTAAATTGATACTTATTGATCAGCATTTAAATATTACACTGACTTACAATTTTACATTTTGTCTTTATAAAATAAGAAGTTGATACAAAGACCTATTAAGAAATGCTGTTAACATGAAAAAATAATAGTTAAAGCTACATTTGACTTATTTTGAGTCCTCTTTTTATGCCTCCAATGGCATTAGAAACTAATGTTCTCAAGACTGAATGAATGCTTTAAAAGAATGGTTTCACAAAAAACAAAATTTATACAAGCAGCCTAAGTATTTTAGTGCTCTTTAACTATCAAGCATTATCACTAATTAGATCAGCATTCTCCATTTAAAGAAGTGTTTCTGACCTTGTATTTCCTGTTTTCCACCTCTTGAACACTTCTCTGAGTCTGCCATGTAAGAAATTTTCCCTACTAGAGGTTAAGAGGTAATGTGGAGGAAAACAAGGGCTGAGACCAGCAGCCAGACTTATGAACGAGGCCTACTTGGCCTTCTGAGTCCACCAGATCTCCCAGCTGAATTCCACCTTCTGACTGAGGCAGGTAAACAAGCAGAAGAACCATTCAGCCAACCCACTGAACCACAAGAAATAATAAATCATTGTTAAATGTCATCACATTTTGGGGTAGTTCGTTATGCAGCAACTAATTACTAATGCAATTTCCATTGTACAAAATAATTTAAATATAAACATACAGAAGTGAAGACTTGAAGAGATATGTGTACACCCATGTTCACAGGAGCATGATTCACAATACCCAAAGGATAGGAGCAACCTACATGTTCACTGACTGATGAAGGGATAAAAAATGTGATATATGCATAGAATGGAATATTATTTAGCCTTAAAAAGGGAGGAAATTTTGACACATGCTACAAAATGGATAAACATTGAGGACATTACATTAAATGAAATAAGCCATACACAAAAAGACATGTACTATAGTGAATCCTCTTACATAAAGTATCTGGAATACTCAAGTCCATAGAGATAGGAAGTGGAATGGTGGTTGCTAGGGGATGAAGAGAGGGAGGAATATCAATTATTGTTTAATGGGTACTGAGGTTTCAGTTTTGCAAAATGAAAAGAATTCTGGAAATGGATGGAAGTGATGGTGGAACAACAATGTGAATGTACATAATGCCACAGAACTGTACGCTTAAAAATAGTTAAGATGATAAGTTTTAAATATACATTTTACCAAAATTAAAGATATAAGTGAAAAAAATTTCTTAAGGGTTTCTAGCGTAATTTCTATTCAAAAGCACAGATAAGTTTGTAATTTCAAAAGCAAAATACAGATGTGAGTAAACACTACAAATTTTATCTCTAGTATACAAGAGAGAGGGGACTGCTAATGACTCCAAGTGTCTCAGGAACAGACAAAAGGAAACAAAATCATTTGTCTGGGTTTCCTTCAAAACAAACATTTTCCATATATTTCAAACTTACTCATTGTTTAATTCTAAAGCTTGATAGGCTGCTTTGATTCGAGCTGGAGGATTTCTTTCCCTCCATGCCTTCTGCATAACTGTAGGAAAAATATTTCAAAAAGTAGATGAGATGATAAACAAAAAAAATCTTATGTAAAACGTATGAAGAATGAACTAGGAGAGTAAACAAAGATCTCAATAACATATTCTTAAACATGAAAAGCAAGAAATTGGGGTCCAAGTTCACAGTAAACTTGTGAGAAATTTATATTAAATTTGGAAGCTTTGTATATAAAAATATATTTTCTCTCATTTAAATAAAACATAAATCAATCAAATTAATTACATTATTTTTATACATGAACATTTATATATCTAAATGCATATTAAAGCTGAGTTTGCATATCAGATTATAATCAATATGAAATATTCTAGTTCTTTAATCATTTTTTGAAAAAGTTCTATAGAACTGCTAAAAATATACAAAACACTTAAAAACAAAATCATTGTCTAACCAATGATTCAACCTAGGAAGAATGTTTGAATTTGCATTGTGTATAAAAAGTGGTGGGAAAAAGGAATTAATTTAGACTATAGTACATTTTATGGATAATGTCAGTCTCTACCAAGATTCAGCAAAAGTCTGAATTAGGATCTCTTCAGAATAACAGTATCAGTTTTGCTACCATTTACTATACCCAAATGAAAATTTCACACTAAGCAGTTCCTTAGGAATTAAAGTAAATTCATGAAACTATCTGGTCTATTTTCAAGTCTGATAAGAGAAATAGAGAATCTATGTTGTTTATGGAATAAAATCTACAACTGTACAGAAGGAATAATGTGGAAAATGGGTTTTCCTTTGGAAACAAAATATTAAGTCTTGGCTTAGAAAAGGAGACAATATATTCCATTTACATAACAAAAAAACTTTTCTCACATCAAACATGTCACCAGCTAGGTGATAGCAAATGCTCCTAAACTTGACATGTTTATGCAAGTCAGCATTCATCTGATAATAACCAGGTAAAGAATAGCATTTTGCCAGAACATTAAAATATAACATAAAAACAAAGAATAATACTAGACATGCCATTTTTGATGACGGGGCTCTCTTTTAAAAGCTAAATGATGTTCACAAGTCAACTTTTGCCACTGAATATTTATCAACATTTTAAATGGTTATTTGGTATTCTAGTATTTTAAGTATATATTGTAATTTATTTAATTCACTTTTGATGGACAATTCAATTACACCCAATTTTTTGCTAATACTAAAATACTGATAACTATCCTTCAACATCTATGTCTGCATACTGATCAAATATGTCCTTTCTAGAAGTGGAATGGTTTATTAAAATGTAGGCATCTTTTAAAAGATTTTAGACATACACTCCCAAACTCTTCTCAGTAAGACTGTGTTCATTTATGTTCTTCCAGGCAGTGTAGGAGACTGTTTCCCTACCTCCTCACCAACACTGAGTAGTACCAATTTTTGCTAATTAATAGTTAAACTATCTCATCTTCATTTGTATTTTTTATTTCTAGTAAGATCATCTAATCCACCTTTAGGCATTTTTTTTCTTATTCTTTGAATTCCTCTATCCAGCCTTCAAGGTTATTTCTCACAACCAGTACAATTCTAAGCCAAAAGAGAAAGGGTAAATAGAAGAAAAAGATATATTTTTTTCTAAAACAAGGTTTAGGAATAACTTAAAGCAAAATGCTGATTTAGTATTCAACTGTCCTCTTTAAGAGCTCTTGATATTGTAAAAAATAACAATTAGCAATTCAATTAAGGTTACTTGTTTTTCAAGTTACAAAATATTCTAATACTAACAAGTGGAAAAGAAAATGCATTTGTCCCAAGTTTAGGGGTCACAAGTATTAAAGCCTACAAAGACCAGGCAGAAAACATAAATGAGTGAACTAAAAAGCACATGCACTGTCTAAAGGAGAGTCACAGCTCAGGTAAAACTGATTACCACCAAATGGAATTGCACATTCAGTCTTACCACTATTTTCCAGTTTTATGAAAGTATAAATCTGGATTTTAATGTTGAATCTAACATTCAAGGTGAAAAAATAATACCATGAAAAAAAACTATCCAAAAGCACTGCTGGCTGGCTCTGAGGATTTTTCTTTGTTCTGTGCCTTAGATTAAAAAAATGAATAGAAGAGCAGGCACATGAAAAGATGCTCCACATTGTTAATCATCAGGGAAATGCAAATCAAAACCACAATGAGATTATCACCATAGTTAGAATGGCCACTAACCAAAAGACAAGAAATAACAAGTGTTAGTGAGGATGTGAAGAAATAGGAACCCTTCTACACTGTTGGTGGGAATGCAAATTGGTGCATCCACTGTGGAAAACAGTATGGAGGTTCCTCAAAAAACTAAAAACAGAAATAACATTTGACCCAATAATTCCATTTCTAGGAATTTATGTGTCATTATTTACAATAGCCAAGTTATGGAAGCAACCTAAGTGTCCATCAATAGATGAATGGATAAAGATGTGGTACATATACACAATGGAATATTATTCAGTCATTAATAAAAAAACCCTGCTATTTACAACAACATGGATGGACCTAGAGAGTATTATGCTCAGTGAAATAAGCCAGGCAGAGAAAGACAAGTACCATATAATTTCACTTATTTGTGGAATATAAAAACCAAACAAAACAAAATGAACAAAATAGCAGTAGACTCATAGACACTGAGACGTGACTGGGGTTACCACAACAGAGGGGTTGGGGTGGATGGGTGGGAAGGGTGAAGGGGATAAAGGGGCACAAAAATTCTCAGTCATAACATAAGTTGTTTTGGGGATGGTAGTATAGCATGGAGAATATAGCCAATGACTCTGTAACATCTTCCTATGTTGACGGATAGTAATTGCACTAGTGTGGATGAGGACTTAATAATATGGGTAACTGTTGAACCACTGTGTTGTATACTTGAAACCAGTATAAGATTGCATATCAATGATAGTTCAATTAAAATGTCAAAAAAATCAACAGAAGAAAATCCACTAATTTAGTAATTATTGATGACAATCTTCAAAAGAGAACTGTCACATCACACACACATTTTTTAAAAATATAAAACTACACATATAAATCATTACCTTTATGTCAGTGTCTGAAAAGATCAGTATGGAATCAACAGTGCAGTTCTGGATTATCATTCACAGATAAAGCCTGTCCCCAAATCCTGGGATTATGCATACTCTAGAAGTACATAAAACTTTGAAAGGACCAAAATGGGACACATGGTTTTAAGAGACTAAAATTCTAAAGACTAGCTTTATATGACTCTTTCCTGTATCTCACTACCTGAAAAATGTTCCTCTGGTTGGTCAAGCATCATGCTGGTTTTCCTTTCCTATCCAACATTTGCTCCCTGCTCCCCAAAAGATAAATTCTCTTCTCCTTTTTTATAGAAGAAAGGCTTACTTCTTATTCATCCTAAATCTTTCTAAGGTACATTGCCCTAAAGTGTAAAAATCTCCAGGTGCCACAGGGACAAATCAAAGTTCAGATTTGGGGGCAAACATCTGTATCAATCCACCTATAATAGGAATTCCTACTTTTTACTTATTTACTTTACTTACTGTAAAGTGAGGCTCAGCATTCAAAATAGAGTATTCTGGCTCTTGGCTGCTCTGAATTCAAGTATACTGTAGAGCGGCGAGGGAGTGATAATTTTTATCAGTTCCATTTATCAGTACACCTCTCCCCTTACTATTAAATAGTGCTTTTGCTCCAAGGGAAAGACTCTCCACAGTAAGGCAAAGGCGCATTAGTTAGGGATAATAGAGGCAGTGGAATCTAAGTGATAAGCTCTAGGTAATAGAATCTGAATTCAGAAGAGATGTTTGTCATGACGCATGCATGGTAACATGTTTATTTTAATTAAAAAATGAGTTAGACATCTCTGTCAGAAAGTAAGTCTGATTTGGTTGATAGAATTCATAATGAGAACTCACCCAGGCAATTAGGTTTTACAGAGAACGTTTTCCAAAGTTTAAAGAGCCAAATACGTATCTCCAAGGATTTGACAAAAATGTAACTAAAATACATGATATAATTTAGAACCTTATGATCAAAGGAAATTTAAATGTTTAAAAATTTATACAAAAAATTTTTATTGTGGAAAAGCATATAAGTAATAAGACTTTCAAGTACAAAATAATTATAATAAAATCATAGAGAGGAGTGCAATTGATATGAATTCAAGAAGAAAAAGGACATATAGCATTTATTATTGTTAGAGAGTGTTCATGTATTTTTCAATGGGTACTGGCAGGTATAAAGTCATTACAATCCATGTGATACACTTAAATATGGGGTATTCTAGTTTTATTTTTGTGTGTTAATTTTGTATCCTGCAATTCATACACCATGACCAAGTGGAATTCATCCCAGGGATGCAAGGATGGTACAACATCCGAAAATCCATCAACATCATCCACCACATAATTTTATTTTTAAATGTCTATATAATATATCAATAATCACATTCTTTGTGATTATTTAACCTTATGATATCAACTTAAAAATGTTTCAAGGGATATATGTAGTTTCTCCAAATTCTTATAGAAGGAATGTGAACAAAAAAATTTTAAGACCACATCTTTAGTGGATAGCCATGGTTGCTACTTGAAAAGACCACCAATATCTGCAATTCTGCCTGTGTGAAGGAGATAAAGTCTTAATTTCCAGTCACCTCAGTCCCTAAAATTAACATAAAATACTGATTTTTCCACTACTATTACCTCGCCAATATCCACACTTTGCCATTAATGTAAACATTAAGCATATAAACTTAAGACAACTCTTTTTTCTTTACTTTTTTCTTTTTATTAAGGTATCATTGATAAATAATCTTATAAAGGTTTCACATGAGCAACATTGTGGTTATTACATTCACTCATATTATCAAGTCCCCACACATACATCCCACTGCAATTACTGTCCATCAGCATAGTAAAATGCTATAGAGTCATTGTCTTCTCTGGGCTACACTGCCTTCCCCATGACACCCCTGTACTGTGTGTGCTAATCATAATGCCCCTTAATACACTTCTCCCTCAGTCCCTACCCACCCTTCCTACCCCTTTCCTTAGTCCCTTCTTGGAGTCTGTGAGTCTGCTGCTGTTTTGTTCCTTCAGTTTTGCTTCATTGTTATACTCCACAAATGAGGGAAATCATGTGGTACTTGTCTTTCTCCACCTGGCTTATTTCACTGAGCATAATATCCTCTAGCTCCATCCATGTTGTTGCAAATGGTAGGATTTGTTTTCTTCTTATGGCTGAATATTATTCCATTGTATGTATGTACCACATCTTCTTTATCCATTCATCTACAGATGGACACTTATGTTGCTTCTGTACCTTGGCTATTGTAAATAGTGCTGTGATAAACATAGGGGTGCATACGTCTTTTACAATCTGGGATCTTGTTTTCTTTGGGTAAAATCGTAGGAGTGGAATTCCTGGGTCAAATGGTATTTCTATTTTTAGTTTTTTGAGAAACATCCATATTGCTTTCCACAACTGTTGCACCAAAATGTTCCATGTGCACTTGAAAAGAATGTGTATCCTGCTACTTTTGGGTGACATGTCCTGTAGATGTCTTTTAGATCCATCTGTTCTGATGTGTTGTTCAGTGCCTCTGTCTCCTTACTTATTTTCTGTCTAGTTGATCTGTCCTGTGGAGTGAGTGGTGTGTTGAAGTCTCCTAAAATGAATGTGTTACATTCTATTTCCCCCTTTAATTGACAGTATTTTTTTCACATATGTAGATGCTCCTGTGTTGGGTACATAGATGTTTATAATGGTTATATCCTCTTGTTGGACTGACCCCTTTATCATTATGTGATGTCCTTCTTTGTCTCTTCTTCCTTTCTTTGTTTTGAAGTCTGTTTTGTTGATACAAGTACTCCAACTCCTGCTTTTTTCTCCATATTATTTGCATGAAATATCTTTTCCACCCCCTCACTTTTAGTCTGTGTATGTCTTTGGGTTTGAAATGAGTCTCTTGTAGGCAGCATGCAGATGTCTTATTTTTTTTATCCATTCTGTAACTCTATGTCTTTTGATTGGTGCATTCAGTCCATTTACATTTAGGATGATTATTGATAGATATGTACTTCTTGCCATTGCACTTTAGATCTGTGGTTACCAAAGGTCCAAGGGCAGCTTCTTTACTATCTAACAGTCTAACTTAATTCGCTTATTATACTATTTCAAACACAATCTATAAAGGTTTTTTTTGTCTTCCTTCTTTTTCTTCCTCCTCCACTCTTTGTATGTTAGGTGTCATATTCTGTATTCTTTGTGTATCCCTTGACTGACTTTGTGGGTAGCTGACTTAATTTTGCATTTGCTTAGTAATTAACTGGTCTACTTTCTTTACTGTGGTTTTATTTTCTCTGGTGACAGCTATTTAGCCTTTGGAGCACTTCCATCGATAGCAGTCCCTCCAAAATACACTGTAGAGACAGTTTGTGGGAGGTAATCCCTCAACTTTAGCTTATCTGGAAATTGTTTAATCCCTCCTTCAAATTTAAGTAATAATCTTTCCAAGTAGAGTATTCTTGGTTCCGAGGCCCTTCTGTTCCATTCTTAAATATATCATGCCACTCTCTTCTGGTCTGTAAGGTTTCTGCTGAAAAGTCTGAATGACAACGTGATGGGTTTTCCTTAGCATGTGATCTTTTTTCTCTCTCTGGCTGCTTTTAATACTGTGTCCTTGTCCTTGATCTTTGCCATTTTAATTATTACATATCTTGGTGTTGTCTTCCTTGGGTCCCTTGTGTTGGGAGATCTATGCACCTCCATGGCCTGAGAGACTGTTTCCTTCCCCACATTGGGGAAGTTTTCAGCAAATATTTCCTTAAAGACACTTTCTATTCCTTTTTGTCTCTCTTCTTCTTTTGGTACTCCTATAATGCAAATATTGTTCTGTATGGATTTGTCACACAGTTCTCCTAATATTCTTCCATTCCTAAAGATCCTTTTTTCTCTCTGTGCTTCCACTTCTTTGTATTCTTGTTCTCTAATTTCTATTTCATTTACTGCCTCCTTTACCTCATCTAATTTGCTTTTAAATCCCTCTATTGTATGTTTCATTTCAGATACAGTATTTTTTGAAGTTTCTATCTCTTTCTTGAAGTCTTCCCTGAGGTGTTGAATATTTTTCTGTAGCTCCATGAGCATGTTTATGATTTCTATTTTGAAATATTTATCAGGACAATTGGTGATTTCAGTTTCATTTAGCCCTCTTTCTGGTGTTTGAGGGATTTTGGTTTGTACCAGGTTCTTTTGCCCTTTCATATTCCTAATGATTGCTATGGAATAGTAACTTTGTGTCAATGGCACTCTCTAGTGCCCAGAAGCTCTACTCTCTGAAGCTGCCCATCCCCTAGAATGATGGCAGGGGTTACATGCATGTGGCACCAGTGCCTGCCAGGAGGGAAGAGCTCTTTCCTGCTTCCTGGCTGCAGTGCCTGCCTCCACTGCCTCAGTGGGCCAAGCCCACAGGGAGGAGCCTCTATGTATGTCCTTGTAGCTGCCATAGGTGGGGTTGTCCTCTGGCTGGCCTGGTGTGATGGCTGGGGCAGCAGGTTTGCGAACTGGTGCCAGCCAGGAGGAAGGAGTGGCAGGCTGAACATCGCAGTGAGGGGACTCAGCGCTGTGTTGCCAGCCAGGGGGATGGAGTGCCTGAAGTTCCTGAAAGTTCCCAACCTGCAAAGTTGAATGTGCCGGAACCATTTTATCCACCTGTCCTTTCTCCTGAGTGGCAAGTTCTGTGTAATCCTTGCCCTCTCACTGTTGGGAAGTCTTTGAAAGTGCCTGCCTTTCTTTTGTCCCAGAGCGGCCAGTTGTAGGTACCTGCTCTCCACAAGTAGCTGGAATCTCAGTTTCTCCAAGTATTCCACCTGTCTTTGCTTTCCAACCCCACTATCTCCAGAGCACCATGTAATGTGGGTTCATGCTCCTACAGTAGATCTCTAAGGGTGGGTGTTTAGCAATTATGGGCTACTACTCCCTCCCCGCTCCATTTCTCTTCCTCCTGCCAGTGAGTTGAGGGAGGGGAGGGCTTGGGTCCTGCTGGGTTACATCTTTACTATTTTACTCTTTTCCATGAGGTCTTCTCATTTCCACAGATGTAGGCCATCTGTTACAGTCTTCTTTCCAGTCACTCTTTCAGGATTAGTTGTTATTTGCTGTATTTTCATGTTATATGTGATTTTGGGAGGAAGTTTCTGCCTCACTCCTCATACCACTATCTTGTTTAATCCACCCCTTTTTCTTATATTTGCAATTAAACCACTTTTTACAACCATACCTAAGATCCTTGAGTTTCCCACTACCACTCCTTAGTATATTTAACACAGCAGATATATATCACAATGAACTCACTTCAGTGCTGAAGAACTGGCTATTTCTCAAACCCTTATTTATAGTGATTTTCTTCTGCCTATCAATGTGGTAAGTAAAAACTGCAATAGTACAGTGTTTAAGAGCTAGAGTTGAGTTTGAAACCCAACTTTGTTACTTACTAGTTAGGTGACTTAGGGCATGATACTTGATTCCCCTTTGCCTTGATTCCTTTGTTTTTAAAACAAGCTGATAATAGGACCTGTCTCACAGAGTGATTGGGAAGATTGAATTAGTACATTTATACACACTGCTTAAAATATTGCTTAGTTCCTAGTAAGTGCTATGCAAGCGTTGCTATTATTTGAGAAATTGCTTAAGACACCTGTGACACCAAGGCCATTCATTCAGTCATACTGTCATTACAGAATAAATATTAATATTTACAGTATGTCAGACAATGTGCTAGACGACAGAGGTAAAGGAGAATATAGTCCCTGCTTTCCAAAGTTTCACACAATGTTTGGGAGAACAAACATTAAAGTAACATGATAATATTAACAAACAAATGTTTGTAATTGCATAAATTTAACTAAAACTGTTTGTTTCATTGAGCTTTGGACTAAGTACTATAGAACTTCCAAAAACAAAGTATTTAAATCTGACAGGAGATCCCGGAAAAGGATGTCTAGACAATGTGACTTTTAATCTGGGTCTTGATAAAGTAGGAAGGATAAAAGTGGAAGCATAGATAAGGAGGGAGAGGGCATTCAAAGCAGAAGAATAGTTGTGATAAAGATCCCATCTTCAAGCCAAACATTTAGGAGTATCAACACTATCTTCTATAGAGAAGAGCTCCGAGAGAACTATAATAGACATTTCCATGATCTTCTACTGCTTTATGTGCATCTATAGTTTATGACTGGAATAAAATATACCCCATTTTCTTCATGTGGCATGCTCCAATAGTTAAACTTAGTGTTACTCTTTTATGTATAATTACAGGTGTTAATTTTCCAGACCCAAACTGGGTACACTGTTCTCTGCTTAAGCAGTTGTTGTATTTGATCTGAAAGATTTTTTTAAGTAATAAAAGAAATGATTTTTATAAAATATTTTAAATTCTTTATAAGAAGAAAAAGTAGTGTAACAACCTAGTTTACAGTCATAATTAGTTTCAATTTAATCTGGGTTTCTTATCAATGATGCAAACAACTCCAAGCCAAATAACTTTGAATATTATAATAAATAATTTTAAAGAATGTTTAAAATAATATTCATGACCACTGTTTACCCATGAACAGATATGACACGTACCTATGTCTGAAGGACGTAAAAAGTCTGTGTCACACGTGAAAAAGGTCTGATGGTCCTGAGCTGATAAATTCATGTCATAGTATGTAAGTGGTTCTTTACCAGTCACCCAAGTGTATCTTTAAAAAACACAAGAAAATATGTAAACTGAACATGAGAGAGCATCTGTCTGCTATAACAGACACTATTAAAATTTGAAAATATACTGCTACAAATTCTATTTCAGGATGCTTAAAAAGCTTTTTAAAATCAGTAAGACAAGAGATAATGTATAAAACCTACTTAGGGTATGATAATAAAATGTCAAATACCAAAGGGAAAAGGCTGCATTATTCAACAATGCTTCAAAACTGGATTTGAAGGGATAAAACAATTTGACTTAGATATATACCTTATTAAACATGCTTAAATTCTCAGTGAGTTAGAATTAAGTATTAAAAGTCAACGTCAAAGAAACTAGAAGAAAACACAGGTGGATTTTTACTAGATGTCAAGATGATAAAGGGCTTTCAAAGCATAAAGGCAAAGAGAACCTTTTTCCAGATTTTATTAAATTAGAAATTTAAACTTTTTTATCTCTCTGAAACCTACAATAATTAATAGCAAGTTAACTAACTGGCCAATATATTTTTTAAGGTCCAATATCATTGGTAATTAACATGTAGTCAGTTAAAATTATGAATTTTTACTCTAGATCCATCAAAATGGCAAATATATGTTGTCAAGGGTAAGGTGGAATGTGGATTCACACATACTCCTGGTATAAACATGAACTGGCATTTACATTTCTCTTTCCAGAAATCAATTAGGTTGTATCTATCAAGAATTTTAAAAATATCCACCTAGTTAGGGGATGAGTACATGGAATTCTATTACACCATTCTCTCTTTAATTTTTGAAATTTTCCATAATTAAAAAAAAATTAAAAGAAAAAAAAAACCTGTTCACACTTTTTGATTCAGTAATTGCAGTGCTACAAATCAACCCTAAGGAAATGATCATATATGTTTAATAACTACAGGCTAGACATTTATATATAAAGATATCCCTCTAGTGTAATGTTAATGGTGAACTGTAATCTGTAACCTAGAGGAGAGCAGAAGGTATGGTACCTCCATATAACAGAATATAGAATATAGTACAAGCATAAAAAATCATTAAAGAAACTCATGTTTTGAAGATATTCTGTGGGAAATTCACATGTCAGAAAAAAAGGATGTATAACTATATACACATTATGATGCTCAAGTTTTCTTTCAATATATGAATATAAAAGAGACTGGGTGGAAATATAAATAGAAGTTATCACTTAATGGTAGGAAAAAGTGATTTTTACTTTCTATTTTATACATCTCTTTAATTTCCAATTTTCTACAATGAATATACTTCATTTTATAATCCAAAAATTAAACATTTTAAAAGCACATAAGTATTATTTATATATATGATCAAAGATTTTAAGTTATTTAATAAGATAAATTGCCTTACTATTTAAAATTTTTAGCTATTTTGTGAGAAATTATCATGAAGGAAAAAGAATATGAAGGAAAAATTCTTGTTTTTTTAGCAAAGTTGTGCTACACATCCTAAAATCATAAAATTTATTAACAACCTACATTATTTCCAAAATGATTAAAGCACTTAAAAAATATAATGTACAATGTCAGTAACTTAAATTGGATGTAAACAAAGACTTATAAAGTAAAAATAAGGATTGGGCCTTGGAGCCTGGAATGAAGTTAAAAAATAAAATGCATACCATAGTTGTATATACTTGCTAAGGGTTGGCTACAATATGACTTTAAGCTTTCTAGAAACACACAATGATTATCAATGCAATTTAGACTTTTACATTAAGACAAACTAATCATTCAAAAAGAAGCATAAATAGGGTGAGGGGATAAAGGGACACAAAAATTCTCAATCATAATATAAGCTGGTCACAGGGATAGTAGCACACCATGGAGAATACAGCCAATGACTCTGTAATATCTTCCTATGTAACAGATAGTAACTGCACTAGTCAGGGGGAGGATTCAGTAAAATGAGTAACTGTTGAGCCACTGTGCTGTATATTTGAAACCAATATATGATTGTATATCAACTACACTACTTCAATTTTTTAAAAAATTTCACATTACTAATAAAGAGAGAAAAAAGTGGAAAAAGAAAAAGAAGCCTAAGTATTCCTGATACTAAGAAATTTTCTCTTTAAGATCTTCATGAAGTGGACACGGTGTAATATAATAAGGAATAGCCTAAAACCTTTTTATTTTAATAAACACAGTGAGAAGTTGAAGGACCTGTTTCTTGCAGAATTCTTTAATACAGGGTAAAGACATCTCTCATGAAGCCTAGCTTTCCCTTCCCAGGATGTTACTCTCCTACACTATTAAGTCCTTAAGCACAGGGATTATTGCTTAATCATTCTGTATTCTCATCATTTTGCACAGTGCCCACACATACATAGTATATACATGTTTCTTGTTCAACGAATTAAATGCCCCAGTGTACCTCCAGGCAAAATACAGCTCTTCTCAGAACAAAAGTAAAGTATCTTTGGTCATAAGTTTCAAAGATATTTTCTCATTGAGGGTAAAAACTGGAAGAGAGACACAGTAGTGCAGATAGGAAATAACAATAAAAATACAATATAAAAACACTATACCCTGTACTGTTGCACAAATAAAGTTCATATTCACATTGAGATTGTTACTTTCTAGTGAATCCTCAAATTTTGAATCTGAGCACAGATGCCTAGGAATATGCTGACACTTGTAATTTTCTCTTAATCTCATTAATTCTTTGAAAAGGCTTTCTGCCATGTGACCAAATATATACTTATTATATATTATAAAAAAATGGTTAAAGAAATGTTTCTCATGATTATAAAAACAGTCAAGATAACTAAACCTTGGGCTAATCATTTTATCTATTATATATCAGTATCTCTCCAACTAGAAAAGCTCCAATATATTTATAAAAATCAATGTTTCTATAATCCTTTTATTCTAAAACCAGTGCCATAATTATGCTGAAAGCAAAACGTAATACCTTCTGTATTCTGCTCCTCTGAATAGATTTAGAGGGTTTCTCCATACCTTGCATTCTAAAAAAAAAGGGGACAGGTGGGAAATGACACAGTTTAATTAACTGCAGTTAAATTCTAGTTTCACCTAACATTTTTGTAAGGTTACTGTCTACTGTGCACAGTGCTGGCCACACATAACACAAAGATGGATAGGACTGCATCACCCCTGCTGTCACATAGCATAGCATTAAATCTCATCATTCCCCTATTTCTGTCTTCACAGCATTTGGCTCATAAAGTCAATTACAGCACTTATCAATTATAATGTGATTATCAGTTTGGTTTTCAGTTTCTCCCTTTAAATATGAGGTCTTAAGTGTTAAAATTAGTTAAGTGTTCAGTAAATAACTGAACTGTATTCAGTTGCTTTTGTATTCCTGGAGCCTAATAGCATTGGAACTAATAATTGAATTAAATGTAGTCTGAGAGTTCATCACATAAATTATCACCTAACTGTGTGATAAGTACTATAGAAGAGATATGTTTTGTTGCAAAGAAAAAAATTAAGTGATTAATTCTGATCTGGGAAAACAGAGAAGGCTTTAGAAAGGAGGTGACATTTGAACTGATACTGAATCACTGTAAAAGATGAGTAAAAGGTTCCCAGATGAAGAACATGCTAAGCACAAAGTATTGGTAGACTGGAGTACAGAGTAAGGGGTGAGGAGAGTTATAAATGAGGCTAAAAAATTGAATGGGAGAAATTGATGAAGGAGCTTCTATACTACATAAAGGAGTTGGGATATTATCCTTGGTCAATCAGAAGCCGTCAAAGGTTTATAAGCAGAAAAATAACAATTATCAGATCTTTCTTTAAAGCAGAAGTTCTTAGCATATGATCATGGAACTGCAAAATAACAACTCTTTCCAAAATAAATTCCAAGACATTACTTGTCCTTTTAACTGTGTTGACTTGAACTCAGTCCTGAGAGTGAGGCTTCCTTAAATTTTGTGCACCAGGCACCTGACTTGCCTGACATTAGTCTCAGTCCTGCAAAGTTGAGCCGCTGGTGTGAAATCAATGATAGGTAAAACTGCCAATGTTTGGCTTGACTTAAGGCAGTGACACCAAAATGTACTAGTCATCACTGGATTTTTTACCCCCTAACCCCAGTAAGATAAGGCAATACCACATATGATGATTGTCTGTAATTTAAGCAATTATTTTTTAGCTTAACTGGCCTGGTTTTTTTTTTTTTCACAGAACATGATTTTTTACTTGAAAGAGCCTCCAAGGGACAAAGTTTTGGTTATTCAGAGGCATACCTAGCAGACATTTTTTCAGAGGTCAACAAAATGGCCTGTCAATTTCAAGGGAGAAAAAAAACCAGTATTTGCTGCTAATGATAAAATCTGAGCTTTCAAGTAAATACTAGAATTTTGAAAAACCTGTATCTGCTACCATGAGCTTGGCAATTTCCCAACACTTAAAAAACTTTTGAGAGACTGATGGTGACATTAACAAATGTGATTTTTACAAATCATAAAATGTGTCGACATTTGGAAGATATGCATAATTCACTGAACAAGTATTTTCTAAATGACCAGGGCACAATATTATAAAATTATACATAAGTAAATGACTCATTCAAGATGTAAGATATACCAATAGATTTTAATGTAAGAGAGCAGGAAAAGTTCACTGTATAGTTTCTGATTCCATAGACTTTAATAAAGCACCTCTTAGTAAGGTTTTAGTATAGTATCAAAAAAGAATATCCTCAATTTTCTGAAAAGGTTATTGAAATACTCCTCCCTTTTCCCATTATAAATCTGTGTGAGCCCAGATTTTCTTCATATACTTTAACCAAAACAACATATCACAACAGACAACACAGAAGCAGATATGAGAATAAGCTGTCTTTTATTAAATTAGACATTAAAGAGATTTAAACAATGGCAGTCTTCTGACTAAGATTTTCTTGTTTTGGAAAATATTTTTCATAATTGTCAGCTCATGCTGATATAGCAAAATACCACAGACTGGGTGGCTTAAACAGAAATTTATTTTCTCACAGTTCTGAGGGCTGGAGGTCTGACTTCAGAGTGCCTTCATGGTCAGGTTCTGGTGGGAGCTCCCTTCTTAACTCGCAGATGGCTGCTTTTTCCCTAAGTCCTTATATGTCCCTTCACAAGGTGGAGAGAGAAACTGATCTTTCTCTATTCCTCCTCTTATAAGGCTACTAATCCTATCAGATTAGGAACCCACTCTATGGTCTCATTTAACTTTAATTATCACCTACAAATCCTACCTCCAAATACAGTTACATGAGAAGTTAGAGCTTAAATATCTGGGGAAGAAGGGACACAGTTCAGTCCATAAAAATACAATAACAAGCAATGGGTTTATTGTTGTTTTTAAAAGAATTAATAAATAATTTAAATAATATTTTTTTAAAAATCTGCTTTAATTTCTAATATGGTAAATATGGGAGACATGATCAATATTTATAAACAAAAGCTCTTTGAGATTCTCAATAATTTTTAAGAGTGGAAAGGATTCCAGAATTCAAAAAATTTGGGAACCACTGTTTTACACAGTTAAGGGGAGAGGACATATTAAAAAGGGAAGTACCAAAGTCAGAGAAACCAGTTAGGGTACTATTGCAATAGCCTCAGAGGACCTAGATATGGGGCAATGAATGCTGAAATAAAAGAAGGTAGAATGGAATCAAGATAATTTTTGAGGGGAATCAAATCAAATATGATATAGGTCAACTGCTTGGAGAACGAAGGAAAATAAAAGAGAAATAATCTGAAAAAACTCAAAAGTTTCTAGTATGGGAACTAGGTATCATTAATAGATTTTAGGACTGTGGGAGGGACGCCTATTCAAAGAAGATAATTAGTTTGATTTTGGGAGGAGTGAATTCAAGGTGCCTAGGACCATCAAAGGTGGAGATTTCTTTAGCAGAGCTAGAAATATGGATCTAGAACTTAAAAGACAGTGCGGGGGTAACATTCTCTTTTAAATTGAAAATTGGTTCTACCAGCATATATGTCTGTGGAAGGTAACATTATAGAATGAGATGCAGTTACTGTGGGCAAGAAGTTTAACCAAAGGAGAACTCTGACTCACTTTTGAGGTCAATTCAAGCATCTCTCCTGTAAAACATTTTGTGAAACTCCTTCCAATAATTACTAACTACTCCTTCTTTTGCCACCACAGTATTTTCTACACACTCTATAAAAGTCTTTTATATCTTTTGCCATCATTTACATGTATGTCTGTATCCTCTACCAGGCTGGAATGTTATCTTCACTCTCATTATAATGGCATACCCAATCATACAATAGGGAAAAAGATTATATAATGCATTACTGTTATAATTATTTACATACTGAACTCCAAGCTTCTTGAGGACAGATCTATGTTATATTCATCTTAATGTCTCATTCTTAGGAGTTCTATAATTATTTTATGAAACGGACAAAATGAGAAGGGGAAAGAAAATTACCATTATTCCTTCCTGTACTCTTAAATGGCTGCCAATCCCATCCCTGCTATTCCTGGTCAATGCCCACTAATGCTTCAGAGCTCAGCCTAAATGGTACTTTCTCAGAGATTTTCCTTGACCATATCTAGAAAGTGCTAGCACTTGTACTCATATTGAACTTTTCTAATAAAATAACTCTAATGGTTAGGTTTATTGAACAAATGAAACATTTCAGCATTCTGTGGAATAAACTCATTTGTATTATCACTATATGATTATCACTGATACCAAATGAAAGGAACAATAATAAAGAAATATTTCTATTTGGCTTTGAAAATGTTATTTCCTAATTGCCTATCATTAATAATATATACTTTGTATTACTATATACATATAGACAGTCCATAATATGACAGTGGAATACCCATACAGGAATAACTGAGATTTTGATGTTTTTGTAAGTATATTGAGAAGAAAAAAAGTTTTCCTAACTTTGCTGTCTTGGCAGAGATAGCTGATTGTCTCTGTTCTCTCCTTTATCTAATAAGAGCTCCTGATTTTTAGCTGGATATATGTACACTGAGAAAATGATTGCAATTTCTAGCTTCCCTTTCAGCTATTTACAGCTATTTGGCAAAGGTCTGAACTGCAGGAAATAAATTGAAATAATAGGTAACACTCTGAGAAGTGTCCTTAGCTGCTGGGGGTAGGTTAGAGGTAAAGGGTGTCCTTCTGGCCTGTTCTCCTTCCTGCTGATTGTAATGTGGTTATGATGGCTGAAGCCAGAGCATCTGTCTTGGACCACAAAGAAAAACTGCAATTGGAGACAGCAGGCTAATGAAATAGGAGTCTGGTCTGTGTTGATCATTGCTCTCCACTTCAGCCATGGATTACCTATATTTACATGAATGACAAACTTCTCTCTGTTGTGCATTTTCTACCTCTCACAGACAAATACCAATCTTAACTATACAGCTCTAAAAACACATTAGACAAATAGTCACCTGACATATTCTGTCTGCTGGTTTCACCTTCTCTGTCGCTGGAAGGAGAACCTGGCTCCGAAATGCTGTTTTCTGTTCCACCCATCAGTGGCCGCAAATGGTTTACAGATACTTGCTCAATAAAAGATATGCCATGCTTATGGAAGTACCACCATTCAAATATCTATGACAAACAGAAAACATCCTTCACTTTAAATAGAATTGATCAGCACATACATGAGCTCAATTAAAACATTCTCTCAAGATGTTCCTATTTAGCATTTTAAATACCCTCTCATTCCCCAAAATAAGCCAAAGACAAGATTCCCCAATAACACATGCTAAGCAAAATACCTTTTTTATAGCTTTGTCATGAAATTTAGACAAGCTTAGGAAAAACTAGGAGAAATACATCTGTAAGTAAAGCATTAGGAAACAGTAAGAAGTGTTTAGTTTATAAATAATCTCTTACGTTACATTGTCATTTTATTCTACTGCGTAATTAAACGAAAGACAATATTGAAACAACTAGCAAGGTGGATTAAACACCAGAGTAAGGCTAAGATGCCCACATTTGACTCCCACTTCAGCTGTTTGCTTTGGGCAAGTCACTTGAGCTCTAACATCTCAGACTCTCAATGTCCTATCTATTAAATACAGTTAACAAGAATTATAAGTGCCTTTAAACAATAAAGTACTATTCCAGTATTTGGCAGTATTCTTACTGTAGGTTAAGAGGCTGGTTCCTATACTGAACCACTTAAAAATCAGAATATTCCCTTCTTTCTGTTTCCATGGTTTATAAAAAGAGGAAATACAAAAAGAGGAATCGAAGCCTTCTGTGCTGAATTGGAATGTTTCATATATGGAGGCTCCAGCCTCCTCAACTCCCTTTGCCTGGCTTCTTTCGGCTTCAGCTTACATGACAGATCCTCAGGGAACATTTCCTGATCTCACAGAAGGAAAGGCTGTGTATGCATTCCCTTTGGATCTCGGGTTTTCCTTTGAACATCATCTTTTCACTTGTAATAATTAAACAACTGGATTTATTGCTATTCTTCAAGTTCCCCAGCACACTATCTCCTACTTCTTTAGGTAGAGGTAAAACACAAGCATCATAACTAGCTTCCTCATTTCAGGTTGTAAAAGAAATTATAAACATAATAACTTTTGCTAATAAAAACTTACCAACATTGTAAGGGTAATGATACCATTTAACCTTTAAAATGTTACTTTAATTTCCTAACCTTTTTTAAGTTTAAAACTCTGATTTAAAAGGAGTAACAAACTTTAAAAAACATTTTATATATTGTATGTATAAATTATGTATTATATTTAACATACGCAAGTTTTTCTCCCCCCTTATCAATGAGGAAACTAAATAAGAGAATTTATGTACTGACCAAAGTTATCAGCTAGTAAGTGGTAGAGTCAAGATACAAAACTACATCTGGTTCCCAGATCAATGCTCTTTCCACTACAACAGCTGTTTAAAGATAGTTTATCTTCTTTATTTAGACTTTTATATGCTATTGACTAGAGTTTCTAAAATATGCTTAATTATGGGTGGGCTTTATAAATCAAGATATTTTGAGGCTTATATTAACACATAGTTTTCATCCTAAATTCAGTACTTTTAAGTCGAGAGAAAAATCCCTCTCTTGTCCGACATTTCATTTTAACAAAATGGTCAAGTGTTAGTCCCTATTTAAAAACAAACCTTCCACTACAAATGCCATTATTTCTACTACAGTTGGAGAGCACCACCTAGAGATGAGAAAAAAAGCACGAAAAAATTCATTGGCTGTGCATGCTATTATACTTTCTAAAAGTTTTATCTGCAGCAGTGTTTTTCCAAAGTTTACACCAGGAAACACTAGATTCTAGAGATGTTTATAATACAGATTATAAAATTTAAAAGTGTTTAAATTAAAAATGAAAGCTTGGTCAAATAAGACAAGGAAAAAGCTGAATTAAAGTTACAAGGTTTCTTTATTGTTGGGTTTCTCCAAATCACAATGGCCAAAATGCACTAAGTGCTCACCCTGAGCTAGCAGTCAGGTTGTTGCAAACTTTTACACACGTTATTTCATTTACTACTCACAATCCTATGAAGGTGATACTATTATTATCCCTAGTTTACATGTGAGGAAACTGGGAGCTTAAAAATGTTAATTGACTTGCTCAAAGTCACACAACTGAAGTGATGGTTAGCCTGGTTCTGAAACCGTTCTTGAACACTCCAGAGAAGGTAATTGGCAGCCCATTGGCTGAATCCAAGACACAGATAAATTTATAGTTTGCTTAATGGTGCCACCATTTTGAAGTATTGGGAGATTGTATATAAAAACTTGTATATCCAGTTTCTATACAAGTCCACATAGCAACAACTAGCTTTTAACCCCTTCTTGAAGGAGCATGTACTGTCCAGATTACCTAGTTCTCAAAGCAAATAAGGAATTTAATTCTTACACTGCCCATTTCATTCATTTCTGTTACTAAACCGGGCCTTGCAGGCATTAAGTTTGCAACCCACCCCCCAGCCCTCTGGCCCCCACCTCCTATAGTATACAATAGTCTTTTATACACAAATGAACACTGCCAATTTCTAATAGTGGAAAGGAAGATGCAGTGTTTTTTCAAATGCTGAACATATCTTGAGAAGGCTGATCTAACAGTATTTATAATTATTTTAACCATATAAAGAGATTTGATCTTTAGATAAATACCAAAGCATGAAGGAAATGGAAACTACTTACAAATATTAGTCCTGATATCAAAGAAGATGTCCCTGTAAGTGCCACATAGAATTTGGGCGTCAAAGAATTTAAGAATACTGTTACTGTAAAAAGGGGGGAAAAATTAAAGTTTAAAAATATGCAAATTCAAAGTACTCGTTACACATATGCAGGTATCTTTATGAGTGGAGGAATGTAAGTAGTTAGTAATATCTAGCATGAGATTCATTTGAGAAACCTGTAATTTTTTAAAAGCTACTTCAAGTTCCCATGTATACTTTAAAAATGCCTTCACACATAAAAGGGTAGGGTTTTACACTATTGATTTGTTAAATAAGCAAATCAAAATGTGGTAATTTAGCTTGTTTTTGAGACTTTAAGAACTTATAAAAAATCTAATTTAGATAAGAACTGCAAATCTAAAAGGATAAACTAAACAAACATCGTTATAAAAGGACGTTTAAGACCAGTCCCCTAATTATTTTGGTGAGATACAAAACAGCCTTCCATATTAGAGGGAAGAACACAGTATACATTTTTGGTATGTCAGCTAGAGAGGCAAAATAGCCCAAAGAGAGTAGCAAAACAGAGCTCCCTGCACCTGAACTCATTGAAAGCTTGGACCAGATTCTTCACTTCAAATAAATCTCTCTGAAACTGTGTTTCAGAAATAGTCAACTACTCTTAACTTAGAGATGTGCCTAGTTAACATTTACAAAAATGTATGATAAACTCAATGAATAACATTTCACTGAGCGTACTAGTAAGCACCTCATTCGCTCATTACAAAGACATATTAGCTCTTTCAAACAGTCTAGGAAGGCCAAATTTATTTAGCTTGTTGTAGTGTGTTACATCTAAATTTACATAGTACTTATGTTCTAAAATGCCCAAAATACTTCAGAACATTATCTCAAGTCTTTCCTGTCACCTCATCTAATGGAAAAACGGACAGCTGCCTTTTCTTGCTACAGAAAAACAAACCACGGTACTGAGAATCAGTGATCACCTAAAAGAAATACTTGCATCTTGTTCTGAGGTTGCTGTTCAGAGATTGAGTAGAAATATTGTAATAACATGGTAAAACGCCCTGGCTTCCATACACTTTGTTCTGGCTACAGCTAAATGATAGGATTCGCCAGAAGCCACGGGGATCATTACTTCTTACACATCGTTGTATCTTCAGCCCTTACTACATAGCAAGCTCTTTACAAACACTAAAGAAGGGAAGAACCCACTGCCGCTTGTGGTTCTCTTTCTCTTTACTTCCTGTACTGTTCTATTTTATTACCTAAGATAAAGACTAAAACAAAGAACAGACAAAAATAACACGAAAACTATTTCTTGACAATAGTATTTTAAAACATGAAAACGGTTGGCTAAAATCATGGTAAGATTTTTGAATACTGAAGCACTCATTTTATTATCTGGGCGTGATTTTCAAGGGATCCTAACAATGATAGGGGTGTATATTGAATTCTGCATCTAAATCTTAAAATACTTTCATCTGTCCTACCACTGTCCTGAGGCTCACAGCTTGCCAGGCGGCTTTTGCTCCCTAGACTAGGAAAGAACAAAGGGCGGATCCTAAAAGACGTCAGGGAGGAGCCGACAGCTGCAACTCAGGTTTGACAATCAGCTGCGGAGTTGCGGCCTAAGAGAAAAAGAATCCACTTGATCGCCCACCACCGACTCATTCTCCGAAGCCCTCCAGTGACTACTGAGAGTCTCTGTCCTTTGGTCCTAGCTCCTGGCACTTCTCCTGGGCCCCCCGCCCGTCCTCAGGGAGGTCTGGGCCTCTCACCCGCTGCCAAATTCTCACACAGCCTCAGCGGGACCCTCAGAGCGTAAAGCAGCCCTAGTCCCGCCACGAACCACAACGAGGCCCCAGTCCCCGCCAGCCCGGCTCGCAGCCGCTCCCTCCAGCCCAGCGGCGGGCTCAAGCCGGGAGCGGTCAGTGGAGGAGATGCCGCAGCAGTCGCTGCTTCACTCAAGCCGTCGCCGTCCGCCATCTTGTCATTCCCTTTGGCGTCGGGAGCTGGAAGGGAAGGACAGGAAGCCGAGAGTCAGGAATCCTGGGATAGTGGCGGACCTGAAGTTGGCTTTGGTGAAGGCTGGGAATCGTGGGGGACGCGGACTGAGATTTGGAAGGTTGGAGGAGCGTCCCGGGACTGGGCCTACCTACTCCTTGGAAGGGCGGGATTCCTTGGAAGGGCGGGAAGAGGCAGACAGCGGCCCCTATTTTGGAGGACCCGGCCTGAGATGTGATCCCGGAGTAAAGTGTGTTTTCTTCCCTACGAGTGAGGGTCACCTTTCACCCCTTTCCTGGGGTAGGAGAATCCACGACCGTACCACGGGCCGAGCAGCACTTAGCTCTTTGGACCCCGCTGCCATGGAGGTCACTGATACTGGGAAAACCTACAGGAGTCACAACTGCTTTTTGATGGGATGGAGCTCGGGCGCCAAGAACAGTCGAAACACGCCCCCCGCATTCCATAGATGAACGTGGGAATGAATGTAACTCAGTGGGAAAGATACTAGACAAAATCATTTTAAGGCAAAGCCGAGCTCCTGGGGCGTGGGCGCTCAGAGCCCTTACCGCCTGCCCTTAACTGACATGGCGCCCTCACGGTCAGCATTTCCGGCGGGTCCTTCCGAGGACCCCTGCGGTGAGTCCATCACTTGGCTTCCTTCCCGGCCTGCCTCGCGCCCAGGCTGGGCTGGGCCAGAGCAGCCCAAGATGGCCGACTTCGAGGATCGGGTGTCGGATGAGGAGAAGGTAAGGGGTGCGCCTCTCTTTCTTACCTCTTCCTGCGGCAGGGAACAGGGACCCGACCGGCAGCGGGGGGAGCCCTTGCAATGTCGTCAGGAAAAAGAAGCTTCTTGGCCGGTGGTGGCGTACTCTGCAGCTGGGACGTTTCCCTCTGGAGGGGCTTTCCTCTGCCTCACGGTGGCCCCAGTTCCCCATTCCTCAACTCTTCTTTTCCTCCTGGGCCTGAGGCACAGCCCAGTGGCCATCCTGCAAGAGAAGAGTCTGCCTAACCGAAATCGTGATTGTGGACTCTCTTCTGCGGTTAAGAGCGAACGATAGTGATGTGGCGACGTATCAAGAGGCAGTTATTTTACCGCCTTTAGCTGTTGGGGCTTACCCCATCCCCCTATTTTTGGACATAGTTGAGACTAATTAGGGCGAGTCACTTCCTGATCCGTGTGGCCTCTTCACTTCCCTTTACTCCTCCCTCCTCAGGAAGTGATTTTGCTGTCACGACTTCTCGACAGTCAGAGGTTCCCATATGTTGTCCTCCTCTCACCTATCCACCTCGTTCCTTTCTACTGTCGACAGAATTTGCAGTAATACATGTTTAAACCTCAGGGCATTTGCTTAAGAATTTGATCACCACTCTTCCCTGTAGACGCGCCTTGATTGTACGTGCGTATATACGGTGACTCCGTCCCTTACGTCTTACATCTTCCTAAAGATCGTTTTAGAAAAATAGTTTTCGATTTCTTGTTAACAAATCAAGAATAGCCAGCACGTTTTTTTTTTAACTATAGAAAGGTTTAGTATCCCACAAAAACCTCTGTTAACACATTCATATATGGACAGAGCATCGTGCCTTCTTTGATGCTCCCTGAGGTCTCTTTGATTACAGTTGTTAGTGTATAATTTGTATAGTTATTTCTTAAAAAATGGCCTAAACACGAGAGCATATTCTACATTAGATGGAATAATTTCTTTTCTAACAACTGCACACCTTAATAATGTGTCAGGCTTTTCAGTAAATATGTGATTTTTAGGGTCTTAGAATTTAGAATGGTTTCGCTAGAGATGACTCGTTTTAGGTCAAGAGTTACGTCTTTTATTTCCCACAGTAACTCTTAGAAATGTGCACCCTTTAGTGCTCTGTAAATGTATCTGGGCTCTTTCTTTTTTTAATAAAAGAGATTGGGGCTGCGAAGGGGACTGTTGATGATCTGGGAGTCCTCCGTACACAATAATTTGATACATGCATGGCATGCCATTTTGAAAAGCTCGAGAAGGTGCTAAACACTCAACAAGCCATTGAACAACACTTTTAGCATTAGATTTTCGCTTTCCTGAAAGTTCCCATAAATGTGTAGGATTGGGGGGAAAGGCATCTTATGTATATGAGCTTATGCTGGAGTGAAAACTAATAAAATGTTCAATCGAAGGCAAAAAGCTGTGACTCAGATGAAATTAAACTACAGTGAAAATCATGGATGACAAAACGTGTTAGTCCAACTGATGGCCCACTTGTTAAAAAAATATTGATAAAACAAAATTCCACTAATTTAAAAAACTTTATTGTACTCGAGATTCTACAGTTATCAGTGATACATTTAGGAGTGTTGTCAGGTTTTTGTCTCTGTCGTTAGGTTAGAATGCTTTTTTTAGTTGAACTTGGGAAAATACATATGTATTTCAAAGTGCAAATTAAGATGTATTTTCAGTGTTTGAATTAATAACATTAGTAGTCTTGATTTTTGTAACAGCGGGTCTTTGACTAGTTTCCTCTTATCTCCTAGCTTCTTTTTTTGCTTAATTTTAATGTAACAGGCAAATCAAAATTCAAATGAGAAGGGTAAATCTGCCCCAAAATACTGATGAATTTCATATTTAGTAAACAGTTTTTAGAGTAACCACATTTCTTCATTAGTGTGAATAATTAAGAATAGCTGATAACAATTCAGGTTTCATATAATAAATCTATATGATTTGAGATTACTGAAATTTTGTTAGATTTGTATTTCTAGAGATGAAACTGGTCTGTATTTCTCTGTTGTGGATCTGTAAGTAAAAAGAAAGGGCTTTGATTTGCAAGATTCCAGTTCTCCTTCAGCTTCATACTATCTTGTCCTACTTTCCTCCATGCCTCTGATTGCTTCTAGCCGAACTCAAGAATTGAGAAAGTGTTTTTCCAACAAGACTTGTCAATATGAATGCATTAGCATTCATAAACAATAATCCTTAAAACTTAAAAATAAGTAATCTTATAAAACTTGGACAACCAAGGCACTGTTGACAGGGACCGTGGATGTAGTCAGAGTAGGGTGAGGGCCTCTAGAGGGGGCAGGGCAGGATATTTGCAGTCAGAGCACTGTAACTACATGCAAGGAAACCCCCTTGCTAAAACTCTCTCTTTAGCATACTAAAAGGCCCAGGCCTATGTGCTGTCTTTCCTCCTTCAGATCTGATGATGTGATTTTGCAGGCTGGGCAACTAATTTAGCAAGTAAGCCCAGGCATAAACAACACAGTAAAAGGCAGGAAGGATTCCACCTTAAAGATAAGATTGCATTTTAATACCCAAGAAGTTAAGACGTTAGAAATTCTTCACTTACTCTTTAGCAAACAATGCCTCAGCCCACCTTGGGGGCTGAGCAGGTGGCCTTGTTTCATATTCCCCAAGATGCTGGTATCTCAGAAGTTGCTTGTGTTAAGTTAATTCTAAATATTCAGGGACCACTTAACAAGTCCACACCCCTAAGTTTTTTTCATGTTCTCGAAAAATCCTCAGCTGCCTAGGCAATGTACCACTACAGACTTACTTGTCCCCTCCTGGTGTGAGCCGGGAGCTCTGTCCTTTTACTGTATCTCTAAAAGCCTGTACCTTGCTCTCCTGCCTTGACTGTTTGTGAAGCTCACTCTTCGGCTCTGCAAACAAGAACCCCAGCGTCACTGTTACAAACAAATTTTAGAAATCAGGATATATTCAGCCTTAATTTGTATTGATTGTTCCTTGCAGGAACCCTAAAGTTTCCTTTTTTTTCTCTTTTTAAATAAGACTTCAACTGCATTAGATTTAGGTTTTGTTTTTCATATATGTTTTTGTCTTAAGGCATGTATGTCATGATGCCGAGTATATTTTAATACTGTTTCTTATCTTTGTTACATTTTCCAAAAGCAGTGAACCCAGAGGTGAATTTAATGATGATGGTCTTGCAAATATTTCTGTAAAAGCTAGTAAGATCAACTGTTCTCATAACTGCTGAAGTTTGTATCACTTTATAAAGGAAGTTGGGTTTTTTAACTTATGCATTGTTACCTGAAATGGTCATAATGAACTGCCTAAATAAAACAGGAAGTTGAAAGTGTAGTAACTTGCAGAAATAATCGCTTTTAGTCTTATCCTCGAGTTCACTTGCTGAAAATGAGCTTTGTTCTTGTAGTTACTTTTATTATTTGGTTCCAAATACATAACAAGATCAAAATGACAAGATACTGTAAATAGGAAGTTTGAAATACGAGATGAACTCTGAGTTCTTTGCACTGTTTCCTTTATTTTATGATTCAGTGTTTTTTAAGTGCAGAGACAACTTTAAGACTGGAAAAGAGTGTAATTAGCATTTTCCTCCCTTTAGCCTAACTAGTAGAATTTTTGTGTACAACCTCAAAAATACCACAACTGAGAAATGGATCTGTATGCTTTAAGTTTAGACAAGGTGTCATTTTTAAGGCACTATTTGACAAACAGGTTTATCAAAATTATTCAGTAGAGATGTAGAAAATGTTATAGATACAGAAATTTGAGGGCTCTGTGATAGCTCATGAAAAATATTTCTACTTTTGAACTTAAACTGGATTTCCTTGGTTGTGAATTACCTCCTTGATTTACATGAGTTATTACCCTTACAGGAAGAAAAAAATCCCTAAAGCTAATTTGCTATAGGGGTTTTCTCAGAAGTTATTGTAAAGTGTTAATGTGGCCATTCTTTTATCTTCCCTTTTTTTGTTAGCTGAATAGTAATCATATAAGCTATTAAAAAATCCTTGGACAGGAGCATAAAGCCTAAACAGGTGCAAACTCAGATGCCCAATCTTTGGTTAAGAATGTAGGTTTATTATAATTTATTCTAAAACGTGTTTTATTAGGACCAGTCTTACTACTAAGCAAAGGGTAGTTAAATTTTTTTCTAAAATTTAGACCCCAGGTTTGTCTGACTCAGAAGCCATGCTTGCTCATTACATCGTTTTTTCCATGTAACCATGAATGAAAAAGCTAGAATAGAGGCATCCATTTAATGAATTATAAATGAAGTATTGTGATGGAGAGGGAAAGAACGGTTCTGAGTGTCAGGAGGTTTGGCCTCTCCCTACTGTGCCTTTAGCTACCAGTGTGATTTTAGAAAAATCAATCTCTATGGGCTTCAGTTTTCTTCTGAAATAAGGAAGTAAGGAGAATTGGATCAAACTGAGCCAACAAGTTAAATGAACTTTTTCAAACCCTAATTTAACAAGTCTATTTAAAAATTGAAACGGTAAAATATTCCAGGAGTTTGTGTCATTGTCTGCTTCTGCACATTTGCTCTGATAATGAAACTGAATTCCTTGGTAACTGAGACCATGTCTTTTTATCTAGTGCCCAGCATACTACCAGTTACATAATGTAGGTACAACTTATCAGTATGAAGGAGACCAATCAATCATACTTCATTCATTTTCATATTTCCCAGTTCACGCTCCCTCATCTTTCCACACCCCCTGCCCCTCAGCTATTTCTGGTAATTCCAGATATTTGTGTTCAGGACTGTGTCCACTCTCGGTATTCTGCCATGCCACTACTGGGAACATTTCAACCCACTGGGAGCATTTTTCCTAATAAATACCATAAAGCTACAAAGCATTCTGTATATCAAAATGACTATGTATCTATACTTTTAGCCTTGCTGAACCCCTAATAAAAGTATTTCCTTCATCTGCTTTAAGCTCTCCTTTAGAGCTCAGAAACTAAAGGATCATGTATCTTTTCTTCTGCTCTTTTCTCTCTCAGTGTGTGAATTTCTTCTTGGAAAAAAAAAAGGTTCTTATATGGATCACCTCCTGAAAATAAGAACCCTGGATAGGAGAAATTAGTCATGATACTGAAGACAATATGGCTACTTGGGAATTTCTGCACTAATCATTTTATTAGCAATAAATCTAAAACGTACTTACTATTATTTTCCCATCTTCCTTCATCAGAAATTCCTGACAACTTCTGCATATCTGTTCATCTGCCATACTTTTAGTCAGTCTCAAAATATTAGCATCATCTCTCTTGCCCTTAGCCTCTCCTCTTTTCTTCAATTAGTATTTCAGTCCTCTAAATTCTTTCTTCCTATTGTTAGATTTCTGTTCCTTCATTTCCATCAGTTTTTAAAAAAAATTATTTTAGGTGTATAGGAACTATAATCATATGTTTAAAAATTAAAATGTAGGAAAGGTTGCAAATAAAAAGCCCTTCCCACCCCTCTGTTCCAGCCACCAAGTTCCTGAGAGGCAGGCAGTCTTTTGTATCTTTTCTATTCTGTGCCTATATAAAAAGACAAATAGTTTTCACTGAATA